GCACCACTGTGTGTGTTCACCATCCAGCAGTGATATACCATTTGTTAAACTCGAGTTCACAGTTGCGAATGCCTGAATCCAGAAGTACCTGGAGCAACCGACCACGTAGGCGAGCTGGGAGCGCCTTCTCGGAGCAGGTGTGGGAGCGAAGCACGAGGTCGACTATCACGGTGGGCACGTAGACGAACTGGAACTCGGCCCGCTCCTAGATGCCCGCTGCCGCATCGTTTCCAGGATGCTCCTCTAGCTCGCATCTTGATCTGCGCTGGAAGATGTGGACGGCGGCGACAGAGTCGATCTAGGGAAGAACGGCGGGGTTAGCGGCAAGCCGGCAAGGTGAGGTCGTGGTGGGGAGAGAAGGCGGCGGGCCGAGGCCAGGGTGGGGAGAGGAGGCGGCGGCCGACGGGGCGAGGCCGTGGTGGGTAGATGAGGCAGTGGGGAGAGCAGGCGGGGCCACCATGGAATGGGGAGCGGTGGGGGAGAGAGTGAAGGTATGAGGAGAACAGGGAGGGAGCGTCTGGCGTGTCTTCCTTTTTTTTTCTTGATCGATGGCCCACTCATTTTGGTCAAGTATTTTAGTACTATAGGTTATCGCGAAAAAAAGGTACTCCCTCTGTAAACTAATATAAGATCGTTTAGATCACTAAAAGTAATGATCTAAACGATCTTATATTAGTTTACAGAGAGAGTATTAAGTATGGGGTTCCTTTGTCAAGAAAAAGTATAGGGGTTCCTCTCGAAAAAATATATGCTTTGTCCAATTCAATTTTTTACTTATGGATAGCCTTTTTGATCATTTGGTTTATATTAGGGTCGGATGTTCTCCAATTCTTTTTTCTTATCGGGTTCCCGTATGGTTGTCTGGTTGTGATCTTTTTCACGGAATAAGGGTTTAACAAAATATTCAGTCATGATATTTGTAAAAAAATGATTTTTCTTATTGAATATATTTAAATTCTGTAATCATGCAAGTCATCTTGTGGTCTGTGGATGTTATATTTTATGGAGTAGTATTTTGTCTGACACTCAAATATGTATTTTTCGTTCTGTATCATTATGCTTATTCTGTGTTGTACTATTATTTCAAAACTAACTATAATTATCGGTTAATAGGCTCATATGACATATTTTAGAAAAAACTACTCCCTCCGTCCCAATATTAGTGACTCAACTTTGTACTAATTTTAGTACAAACTTGAGTCACATATTTTTGGACGGATGGAGTATTATTTTAGTGGACTCATAATTGAATGGTGATAATATAAGAAATCGAGACTTTGGAAGATGGCAAAAATTACACAGACGTCATGATTGCATGATTCTGGATAGACCCCCCTAAAAAGCTCAAAACATCACATATATCATCTAAAGTTTAGCTCATCACGCAGGCATTTCTCCTTTGACCGTCTGTCAACTCAACAAACCGCGACTTGATAGATGAACTTTGCTTGTGCATCAGCATGCTCGATGATGTCCCTTTACTGGAGTAAGCCATATTTTTTAAATGGCTTGGTAAAAAAGACTCGCTAAAGAAGAAATAAGACTCAAATTAGATGTTCTTATAGACTAGGATACGTGCGTTGCACGTGCATGCTTACTAGTCAATAAAAACAGAAGTAAAAGTTGCCCTTGTATGACTCCTTTCCTCATTCTTGATCTCCCCAGGTGCTCTGTTTTGCAGCTGGTTGTTGCCGAGTATATAGCAAAAAATTGCCACATTACGAGCTAGGGTTACAAAAAACTATCACCTTTTTTAATTTTTTCAAAATGCTATCACTATTTGGTTCGTTGTTCCAAAAAATCCAAATGAGACCATGTGATTTAAAATTAATCCGGTTTATGACAGATCAAGTCTGCTCCTAAAAAACCGTGTGTTGACTGTTTGTTTGACCGTTGACTACATGTGGGTCCCACATGTAAGCACACGCTCTCTCTCTTACTTATCTTTCTTCTCTCCTTCTTCTTCCCTGATCTCTCTCCCGAGCCATCGTCGTGCACCACCACGGCTGCGCAGCCAGCACCACGCCCGACAGAGCCACGGCCGCGTCGCTAGGGTTGGCCACCACTACGCCATGGGGAGCGCCGCCACTAGGGTCCGCCAGCACCATGCCCGGTGCAGCTACGGCGGTCGCCGCCACCAGGGCCGCCCACCACACCACGCCATTAACACGAAGAAGATGGAAGGAGGGCGGCAGATGGGCAGCTCGGAGTGGCTCGCCGGTGGTCGGAGTCGAGCTCGTACTCAGCCATGGCATCACCCACGGAAGGACAGCCGGGGCAATGGGGATTTGCAGCAGAGAGGAGGAGGAGCTCCGCGATCGTCGACGCTCGGGCCGGACGCCACACCGCCAACCGTCGCACCTGTCGACCACACCCAGCTTGGCAACGAGCTCGAGCACGGGCGGGGAGTAGCCAAGGAGCATGGGCGGTTCCAGTCCGCCGCCACCGCCGCTGCTGCTTCCCACTGGACACGACTGTCACAACCATGCAGAGCAACGCCGGACGACCAGCAAAGGTCCCTTCATCGGACACGACTGTCAAACCTAATGATCAACCTGATGAGTGGACCCGAGCTATCATAATAAGGTTTAAAGTTAACCAACGTAGTCATCAATGCGACATGGTAGTTTTTTGGACCAACGAACCAAATTTGTGGTAGCATTTAAATTTTTTAAGAAAAGTGATAGTTTTTTGTAGCCCCTATTGTGATAGTTTTTTGCCATTTACTCCATTGGTGCCTCCTTCGTGTCGATCTTTTCCAGACTTCCACCATCGAGCCTCCGCTCGAGGACGGGAGGGAGTTGTTGCGGCGCTGATCTGTGTTGTCGGAAAGATGGAGGAGGACAAGAAGAAAGACCACGAAGGGAGCTGAAAGGAGAGTAACACAGTTCCGACATCACAGTACGCAAAAAGGGAGGCAAAAGGACAGAAACGATCAAACCAGGAGCTCCATCGCGATGGTCCAC